ATAGCCTTAATTAGTTTCGCTGTTTTAATATGTTTTTGTTTTAATATTTATAGCATCCGCTGCACCAAGTTCAGCACCACTAATTACTGCGCCTGGTTGTGGTGTAACGTCTGCCCGTGGAGCAAACCCTTTTATTGTCGGAGGAGCCGAAGTCAGCCCCTTGTATAAATGGCCATGGATTGTAAGAATATAGCTTTACATTTCACGATTTTTAGTTTACTTTTACTTCAATCGATCGGGAATTTCTCATTAATATTTTACTCCAATTGTTGCAAATCGTCATAATAGGGCATTTAATGTTTAAAGGAGCGAAATCGCTAACATTTGGGACCTAGAAATTGAAACAAGTGGGTCGCAACTCATATAATACTGTGATATAAATGTATATAAACTGATATACATTCAATGGTTTCCGTTTTTACTCTAATTTCAAATCAGTTATGTTCCGCGAAATAGGCCAGCAGTCTCAATCGAATGCAAATTTCTAGCGCCTGGTTATTCCAGTCTACATACGCCGTTTGTTTTGGTGCAATATGTCTAGCCTCGTTCCTCGCGTCTCTTGCTAGAACTGGGGCTGAAACGCATTATGGTACACGATTCGTGTACCAATGGTAAAATGTTTATTTTGTCTTAAATATTGGATATCAGAAGCCCATCTTTTTCCGTTAAGATCACAGCATCAACGTTGATTTAAATTGACAAATAATTTGTGTTTTCAATGTTGAAGATTTTTGATGATATTGAGTTAGAGACTTAGCTACTTTAAGCTTAGTAAAAAAAAATTATAATTTTTAGGGAAGCCTACGAAGCTCCGGTAGCCATATTTGTGGAGGTGCCTTGATAAAAAATAAAGCTGGAACATATTACTTCATCACTGCTGCCCATTGCACGTAAGTAATGTATAAAAAAACGGACATAAAGCCAGAATGCTCAAAAACAAGTGCGAAAGCAAACTCATATTCTTTTGGGGTGGCCGAATGGTTAGCGCGTGCGCGTTGTATCATGGGGTATGTCACTGTGTCGAGAGGACGTTAAACCCAATCTCTCTCTCTCTCCCGGTTGTACGTGACAAGGAGTAGGGTCGCCTGCCCAACCTCGTGGTTTTTTTTCGGATCCCCTGGTTTCCTCCCACAGCTGAAGACGCCCGACGCAAGCGAATTATTGAAATAAAATTGAACAATATGTTAGTCCCGAAAAGACCTAGTTTGGTCGAGTGTACGTTAAACCCAATCTCTTTCTCTCTCTCTCTCTCCAACATGGGTTGCATGCGAATATCGATGAATGGAACAGCTTTAAGCTTGAACCGATATGGGTCTAAAATATTGTGTTTTATGAAAGATGATTGAGGGGGAGATGCAATAATTTTAGCGTACGCCTGTCATGGCACACACATGATTCCATGCCGTTGGTCAAGTTAGTGGTTGATATGAACTGAACAAGACCGTGGCTCCTGCGTCAGTGTTAAAAAGGACTCGAATTTCTTATTGAGATTTTTGATATTGGGGGATACATCATAATTTCTTATCAAATATCAAACCCGAGAATGAAAGTGTCATTCTGTGTAAAAAAACAGTCTGGATTTAGATTCATTGTCAGTTGCCCATTGCTGAATACAATTTTAAAAAGCTGCATAAAACACCTGACAGTCATCAACATAAAGAGAGCCGCCTACCTCACGTTTAAATTTGATTGCACTTTCCCCGAAAACTCCCACTGATCCAAGGCGTACCTTAAACGACCATAAAGATAATGGCAATTAAGTGTTGTTTCTGGACCAATCTGATCAAAACACAGATCTTATTTCGTTTCGTTTTATATAGTTCAAAATTTCATTTTATTTTTATGTATTACACTAGGATCTGGAAGAGTTGTTATATAACTTGCGCTCTGGATGGCGTGAGGGGTTAGCCAATGAAACCATCTGTTACGGCGACTTCTAGGCGTGCGATGCACGGAACTGTGGGTGAACCACTAGAAAAGTCAACGCTGATTGATTAATTAATGTCTGACGTCATAGGGTCAAAAGCCGTTCGTACGACCTCTGACGCGACCTTTGACCACAACCGGTCAGATCTTCATGTGGTGTTGGCCACCGAAAGTATAAAAAACGAAACGATATATAGATTTGTATTTTAATCAGATTTTTTCTGGACGAAAACGTTTCGACGACGATTTCAAGTATAACTAGATGATCAAGGGTGCTACTTTAGAACCGAAATCCACAACTGAGATCTGTGGTGAGCTTGTTGGACTCAAGGTACCAAACAAGCCTTGGATCGATTGACTAAACTCTCCACCGTTGTTTATATACAGCTAGTTAAACATACATTATGCAAGAGTTAAATCTTCCTAATGCAGGCCTTTCTTTAGGCCTGAAATGTTATCTAATTTATTAATTAGACATTAATTAACCTATCCGGACCATAATCAACTCTAGATGGCATCGCTATGAGCCGATTTACTGCATAACTTTCCTTCACGATTTAACGATTAAATGGATAATCGAGACTATGCTGTTTATCGTACTGAATTTAGTAATGATGATCGAGGCTAGGCGGAAATTTCAAACGCTTAGTTTCAGCAAATTGCCTTTACATTATCTAGTTTTTAACTATTATAGTGAGAACTGCCAACTCTTTATCGAATCTCCCATAATGCATCTTTAAGATACTCACATAGATAACAAATTGTTCCGGTACTGCTATAGAGGGTTGGGTGGATGAGTGGTCTGTCATTGATGGCATGGTGTCGAGTATAAGCCGGTTGTCTGAAGTCTCGAAAATCCTGTACATAATATAACATAATTAAAACTCTTGCATCTTGCAGAGATGGAAGCAACGTCAACCGTCTGTCTGTCAAATTCGGATCCCATTACCGAAGTTCGTCAGAAGCCGGATCCATTATCTTAGACGTTGCCGCTAAGATAGAACATCCTAACTATAATCCAAGCACCATACAAAACGACATCGCAATTCTCGTTCTCCAGAACAGCCAAACCATAGTGGAATCAGACCAAATTAGCCCCATCTGTTATGCTAGTAGAGATCATAACGCTGGGGAAGAATGTACTGTAATTGGTTGGGGGACAACCAGTGAATCAGGTAAGCATTTTGTTTTAGTATCTGTTTGTTGATCATGGGAACTAACCATGAATTCACGACATTATGTTGCTGTACTCAACAGAACCAGCTTACAGCCAGTATTCTGGGGTACCAGTTTCATGCTAAAATCTTTCGTTCCACTTTACCACAGGGTTAGCTTTCATTTACCTATAAATGGTTCCACTAATGATGTCTTCCGCCTTGCTCCAGTCACTGTAGCGGATCGTCCTAAGGCCTTCATTTGACTACAAAAAATGTTACTGGCCTATAACTCCCTTAATTTCCATTTACACTGACCCGAAACTGTACTGTACGTAGCTTTACATATAATAAACCAATTTCCATTGAAGAACAGGTGAAACCTTACCTTATAATTATATGATTTGATTAAACCCAACTACTATGCGAAATTTCTATTCATTTTAAAATGGCCGCCGAACCAGTATCACGTGGTGTCGTGTCACTCGAAAATACAGAAAAACTGTTCGGTAAGATAAGATTATGATTTCAGTGTTCCACTCCTCACTATTTTTAACATAATTACTTATTTCCGTGCAGACTGTGATGATACGTGTTGAAGATTTTGCAATTGAACCTAATTTTACTTGTTCAAAACCTCGAATAGTGTATCAATTGCAGTCTTGGATAAGAATTATCACGGCTACAAATTGCAGCTATCATTTACCGAGCTTGAGATGGCAGGTGTAGTAGTATTCTACTGATGAAAGTAGTATTATATTTGTCATCTATTCTACCAGGAAAGAAACTTTCGGGGACAGTCAATCGATCTCTAAATTTTCTAAATAAACACTACTCTGGAAAACAGGTTACCCAGAAAAGCGACATACTCTACATTCTTAAAAAAATTCACATAGTAAGAGCCACGGTGGCTAAGTGTGTAAGGCGCTGACTCGTCATGTGTTCGATCCCTGCATTGACCGAGAAAGTTCATAGGGATTTTCCGACATGGTTTTCCCTTGTCAGTGGTGCAGGACGGTGGGCCTGGCAAGGACAGGCGACTAGTCGTTCGGATGGGACGAAAAACCTAGTCCCCGTGTATACATTGGTGTACACGTAAAAGATCCCTTGGCTGTTGGAATTCGATATAAGAGTAGGCCATAGTGTCGCAGTGGCAATTTTCCCCCATAGCACACTGTATGACGTATGTCCGTCTTCTTTAACCCAGTCGGAGCAAAACGGTAGGACGTTAAACACCATTTCATTTCCGATCGACGCTTATCAGCATATTCCGAATATTTACCTAACCTATTTAACTCTTTCATATTACTGGTACTCTGTAAGTGAAAGAATTTAAACCGTTTCGCCTAGTATATGTTAAGGCTAAATACATTTTGTATACCATCATAGTGTTAAATATGTTATACTAGCTGATGAACCGGCGGTGCACGGGTTGAAAGTAGTACAACTCCAAAACCGGAAGCCATAGTCCGAGCTACCCCTATACACCAAATGTCAACCGCGGGACAGCCCTAGAGTAGCCGCCAGCTCTGAACAGACAGACAAACAAACACAAACGACAGTAACAAATATTCGTCTGGATTGATTGAGTTGATTGGATCAATATCAAACCATAGATCATTACGATCGTGTCGACTGTCTTCAGAGTTGATATAAGTTGTACGATCAGGCTAGGAATGAAACAAGTTCATGGGTTTTGTACAGCTGACCGTACACTGTGCTGTAATGGGTAAAAAGTGAAGGGGGTTGGGGGGTAATATATTTTAATGACTTTAGCAACATTAACTTCTAATTTTTGTATGTTTCTTACAGGTTCTCTGGCTAATCTGCTAACTATCACTTGGCATAAAATACAAGAGTAATATTACTTTTTTTTTCACAGGTTCTCTTGCTAGTAGGCTACAAGAAGCTGCAAAACCCATTTTATCTGATTCTCAATGTTCTTCTGATCTTGGTTCTAACAGTTACTACTCTAACTCTATGCTGTGTTCTGGTTATGCTGCTGGGGGAGTAGATGCCTGCCAGGTAAGAATTAACCAGAGATATAAGTTAAAGAATAGTATAAACTCATCGAATTCGCTATGACAATACCCAATCTGTTAATTGCCGTGGAATCTATTCTACGTGCACATGATCTCTGGTACCGTGTGGGGGGTTGGATGGCCGAATGGTTAGCACGCGCGCTATATCATACGGTCTGTCATTGAGTCAACTGGCGGGGTTTCGATTCCCCGGTTGTACGTGGCAATGAGTAGGGTCGCCTGTCCAACCTCGTGGGTTTTCTCCGGTTTCCTACCACTGCTAAAGACCACTACGCGCAAGCGAATTATTGAAATAAAATTGAACCATGTGTTAGTCCCGAAATGACCTAGTTTGTGTCGAGTGGACGTTAAACCCATTTCTCTCTCTCTCTCTCTCTCTCTGGGACCGTGTTAATTTACATCGGCTGAATCCCCGGCAAGTATTCCCCGTGGATCTCTAGCAGACAGCACCTTAAAAGTCTAATGCAGTGATTCTCCACCTGTGTGCCGCGAGATCCTCCTAAGTGTGTCGCGGAATTTGAACGACACACAGAGAAAATGCGAAAAACCACGTGATCCAAATTGTGTATTCACTTTATTTAGTTTTAGTCATTCTATGTGTCTAGTCTGTGTCTACGGTTGTATGCTGTCTGACTTACCATGTTTTTATTTTGCAAAATTCAAATATTTTCATTCATATTTAGCCAGGTGTGTCACTATTTTTTCACGTGTTCCAAGGTGTGCCTTCGGCAAAAATAGGTTGAGAACCACTGGTCTAACGCAATGTTATGGGTCATCCCGTAAATCGTCACCGTAGGGCGGGATCGACATATACTATTCAAAAAAAGTAGGGGATATTTGATTTTGGGGGCATAATACTAAAATATGCAAATGACTACGAAAAAAGTCACTATAGAACCTAACAGAAGAAACATTTCCAGTTACATGTGACGCCCAAACGCACCAATAGCTACCGCATGGAATGCAGGTGATGCTTGGGATCATCATGGGGGTCCAACCCAAGATTTGCACGACTCTGACTTTGAATGTTACAGTCATTGTGGCATTGAATTCCAGGGTGGAGACATCAGTTTAATTGTTTTAGTGACCAGAAAACAAATTTTGATATGCGTCGGCTTACCCAAAATGAAAGGTTACGTGCCCTTGGCATGCTACAGATCGGCACAACACAGGCGGTTGTGGCGCGGACGATGAATGTTTCTCAGTCTGTCAGAAGCAGGCTATGGTCCAGATACCGTGATACACAATCTGTACAGGACAGACCACGCTCAGGTCGACCAAGGGCGACAACTCAAGCCCAGGATCGATTTATCCGTACCTTGGCCTTGAGAAATCGTGTCATCACAGCAAATCAGATCAGCGCTCGTCTTCAAACAGACACTGGTGTGAGAGTGAGTGACCAGACGATTCGGAATCGACTGCATAGGGGTCACCTTCGCGCCCGACGTCCTCGCGTGATCCCTTGTTTGAGAGATCATCACATTCAGGCAAGACGTCGTTGGTGTAGGGATCGTCAACACTGGGATAATCGACGCTGGAGCAATCTGATGTTTTCAGATGAGTCAAGGTTCACTGTTGATTTTTTGGACAGACGTAGGAGGGTGTGGCGTCGTCGAAACGAGCGCTTCCAAGACGTTAACGTCATCAGACATGATCGATTTGGGGGTGGTTCTGTTATGGTGTGGGGAGGCATCACTGTTGCTGGAAGAACGGCTTTACATGTTGTTGCAGGGCGTGTTACAGGCCAGTACTACCGGGACAACATCTTGGCAGTCCATGTTGTGCCGTTCGCACGACGTCATGGCCGCCGTTTCATCTTCCAGGATGACAACGCAAGATGTCACAGGGCCAGGATCGTTACAGGTTACCTCCAACAATAGAACATCACCACATTACCTTGGCCAGCACTGAGTCCCGACCTCTCCCCCATCGAGCATGTCTGGGACATGCTTGGACAGAGGTTACGTCAACGTCAACAACGTCCTGCCAATGTCCAAGAACTTGCTGCTGCGTTGCAACAGGAATGGGACAATCTGGACTAAAATGACCTTAGACGTCTCATTAGGAGTATGCCACGTTGGATCAATGCTTGTTTGGCAAACAGGGGAGGATTTACCCGTTACTGACTTGGTTGTGATGCTGTGGTAACTTTGCTGTTTGACCCCGGGTATCATTTTACCCTTATAATGGTCAGTCTGTGCCTTACTTAGTCTAACGATCATTTGGAATAAATCGATGAATGTGAACTTCATTTCATTTTGTCATTTGTTTCTTCGTCAGTTTCATTAGGTGACTTTAATAACACTTAAAAATCAAATATCCCCTACTTTTTTTGAATAGTATATTAGCCGCGAAAACTATCTTATTGAACATGAATAAGAGTATCTTTGCTACTTTTGCTGGAAGATGATATTATCATACAATGCATTTGAATTTTTTTTTTATGCCCTGTGCATTTGTCAGTCTTTTATGATAGATGGTACTATTATGCTGCATTCAATTTCTGTCTGTCCAAGCGTTTATTTTTACTTTAAGCCCGTTTTCCAATGCGCGTTTTCCCCGGTTACATAGAAACGATTGTTACAGTATTCGTTCTGCGCGTCAGGTTTTGAAGACGACACCGGTTTAAGATATTATATTACATTTATTCTTGTAAGCATATAAAGTACCAAAAAAAACTAGTTAAAATTAAATGATTCATTACCGTTAACTTGTGTTGAGAGAGCCCTGGTCATAGCTCGGCAGGACTCAGTCTGGACTTCGCCTGGCCTGAGTCTGCTCCCTCCTTAACTACCTTTCCGGCCCTTTCTTTATACCACTTGGTCCGTGTCAAATGTCAGGATGATTACACAGCTGGATATTACGTAATGCCATAAGCTTTCTGTACAAATTACTTTACAAGACAACAGACATTACATGAATCAACTATCTGTCGTAAGTAATACAGCTGACATGATAAGGATGACATGTCCCTACTGTGCAATGCGACCCAACGATCGTATAACATTTGCATTAGACCGACATTTTCGCTGGCCAAAACGCGTTCATGTAAAATGGACCTAACCAGTTATTAAGCATTTATTTTACATTATGCTCGTTTTCCAGTGCGCGTTTTCCCTGGTTACATAGAAACGAAGCATTTATTTTAACGTTTCTGGCAGCAAAGCGTTTTAACAATCAAGCGTTTAATTTCAATCGGATTAAAATACAGATCTATATTTCGTTTCGTTTTTTATACTTTCGATGGCCTACACTACATGAAGATCTGGCCAGTTGTATTGGGAGGTCGGGTCAGGGGTCATACGAGAAGCTTTTAAAATTATGACGTCAGACATTGATTAATCAATCAGCGTTGACGTTTCTAGGGGGTTTACCCACAATTCTGTGCAAAGTACACCAAGAACGAAACGAAATAGGATCCGTGTTTTAATCAGACTCGTGTGGGCAATGGAATAAAAACAATACATTTATTTCTTGTTGTAGGGTGACAGTGGAGGACCATTTTTCTGTCAACGAAATGGTGTATGGGAACTCGTTGGTAAGAATTATTGAAATACTTAAATATATGCGTCATAATTATTATGGACGTTAAATTTATATTCTTATTATGTTATACATTTAAGGAGAGGGCGGGGGATGGGCAAATAGTTAGCGCGTGCGCGTTGTATCATAAGGTGTGTTTAAAAGATATTTTATTCAAATATTTTAGGTGCTGTAAGCTGAGTATATAAATATATGTTTTAATCATGTTTTAAATATGTTTTAAAGATATTTTATTCTAATATTTTAAGTGCTGTAAGCTGAGTATATAGACATGTTTTGAAGGTATTTTATTGCTTGGTATATAGATATGTTTTAAATATATTGTATTTTAATATTTTAGGTGTTGTAAGCTGGGGCTATGGATGTGCACGACCTGGTAGACCAGGAGTTTACGCTGATAACTGGGATCTTAGATCTTGGGTGAATGACCAAATCAATTAAACAAAAACTAATAAATGTTTTTATATATTGCTTTATACGTTACTCCGCCTTTATGGTTTACAAACTGTCGATTCCCCAGCTGTACGTGACATGCAGTAGGGTCGCCTGTCCAACCTCGTGGGTTTTCTCCGGGTCCTCCGGTTTCCTCGCACTGCCAATGTCCCCTACGCGCAAGTGAATTATTGAAATAAAATTGAACCATGTTAGTCTCGAAATGAACTAGTTTGTTCGAGCGGTCGTTAAATTTGGGGGATCAGGGTGGCTAAGTGGGTAAGACGCTGGCTCATTAGCCTGGATGTCGGGTGTTTGATCCCTGCATTGGCCGAGAAAGTTCATCCAGATTTTCCGGCGTGGTTCCCCCTTGTCAGCAGAACAGAACAGTAGGACGTTAAACCCCATTTCATTTCATTTGGGAAAATTTGCCCGGGCAGTGGCACTATGGCTTACTCTTGTATCGAATTCAAACTGTCAGTGGGTCTTAGCAAATGAATGATTTAGCACAAAAAAAAAACAAATAGAAATCATGGGACCGGTCTTAAAGGAGCTAATATCCAAAATCTTCAACATTGAAAACACGATTTATTTGTCAATTTAAAGTAGCCAAGTCTCTAACTCAATATCATCCAAAATCTTCGACATTGAAAACACCAATTATTTGTCAATTTAAAGTACCCAAGTCTCTAACTCAATATCATCCAAAATCTTCAACATTGAAAACACGATTTATTTGTCAAATTAAATCAACATTCATGTAGTGATCTTACCGGAAAAAGATGGGCTTTTGATATCCAATATTTAAGACAAAATATACATTTTACCATTGGTACACGAAGCGTGTACCATAATGCGCTTCAGTCCCAGTTGTATCAAGAGACTCAAGGGACGAGACTAGACACATTGCACCAAATCAAACGGGGTATGTAGACTGGAATAACCAGCCGCTAGAAATTTGCACTCGCTTGAGACTGCTGGCTTATTTCGCCGAAAAAAAACTGATTTGAAATTTGAGTAAAAACGGAAACCATTGAATGTAAATCAGTTTATATACATTCATATTACAGTATTATATGCGTTGCGACCCACTTTTGTCAATTTCTAAGTCCCAAATGTTAGCGATTTAGCTCCTTTAACGCTGGTCGTCCCCTAATTGGCGATAGTCTGCTAGTTGAAGCCATTGCTTAGAATATCAAGCTTTTTAACAAAAAGGGCGATAAAGGATAGAATTTCGGAAAGCGACAGAAATTATCAATAAATAACGTAAATAGGAACTAAGAAAAACTGCAAGAAATAAACAACAAATCTCTGTAAACTCAAAATGAAAAAAACAAAATGAATTTTTTACTAGAAAAAACGTACGTATGATTCCAAATTCACTTGCGTTTCGTAACTGATACTGTTGGTATGTTTTCAAGAGTGTCATAAGTAAAAAGGATTTTTCTGATGTTTGATTTGAGAAAACTCTACTGTTACAAAAATGATATCGTGTTTCAAGTTTCTAATTCCTAACATGTCCGGAAAATATTCCAGTTAAAATAAAAATGCGTTTTGCTTAGATTTAAATTTATCAGCCAGTTATTACCCAGTTGGACCCCCTATCCTTCCTCGGAGACTGGAAGATCCATAGCTATTCTGGAGCCAAGAACAACCGCATCAATCAGGTCCTCCATAACTACATGGGTCCTGCACCAGAGGAATTAGTGATACACGTCAAGCTCAACAACAGGGAGGAAAGTGGACCAAGGATACACGAGCAGATGCTAGATCTACTCAAAGTGACCAGAGCAACTTTCCCAACAACCAAGCTCTTCACCACACAGATCCCCACTTCTTCCCGGCTCCGACAAGAAAATCCGATCGCCTACCAAAACATCACCAGCTACAACCAATTGAGATCTCCACTGCACCCTCACCAAACATCACCACACTACCAAACTTCAAGGGTAAAATAGAACTGAAAGGTGACGATGCCATCCACACTGTAGTCCAGACACGGCTAGAGAAATCATGAACTGCTGGATGAGGAATTTAAACTAGGATTAGAACAAAGGAATGAGAAGCCGTCTTTGGGACAGAAATTTGTATTGTAGTTAAGTCACATAATTAAAAATGAAATGAAATGTGGTTTAACATCCTACTGTTCTGTTCTGTTCTGCTCGAATTCCAACTGTCAAGGGATCTTTTACGTGCACGCCAATGTGTACACGGGACCTCGGTTTTTCGTCCCATCCGAATGACTAGACAGCTGCATCACTGACGTAACAGAATCAATACATCAATCAATAGGCCTACTGATATAAAAGTAAAAAAAATAAATAAACAAAGGCTAATGTTAAGTTATAGAAATTACAATTACAATTAGTTGTAATAATTTGTACTATCATGTATAAAAGTGACGATATCATTACCAGTATGTTAATGATGAAAGTGTCTGGTAGCCTACCAACAACAAAGATTTTCACAGCGTTGGAAAAATATTGTGACAAAAAATGAGGTATAGTAATAACGGATATAATGCAAAGTTAATGAAACAATAACGTCACTTACCCACTTGGCCACCGTGATCCCCACATGTTTTATAAAGACAATATAATATTTATAAACAGTAATATCTTTCAAAATGAAACGTTTCCCAATGGCCAATAATAAGCTGAATATAAATTCTCATGATAATATTTTTTTTTTGCAAATTAAGCCTGCCTGTCCAATAGCAGCATTGCCATTTCTTGATGAGTCTCTATTTTCAGTTTCTCCTTTAATTCGTCCCACGGTTATTAATAATTAGACTTGTCCATCGAAGGAAAAAATCACACTGGTCGAAGTCCAGAACAATAATAGATTAGATAAAGATCTAGCTGATTGACACCTCTATATATAGGCTACAATTCAGGCAAATTAGACCTAAGACGGGCTGTCTAGAATGTTATTAATCAGTTTGATTTAATTGTGTGGTAATCCAAGTCATATTAATCCCCATTTCTTTTAACATTCCCGCTGATCTTATAGAAGCGCCACATAGAAGAGGATATCCAAAGCCCTGTATAGGGAAAGTTACGACAACTCATTTACAGGCGCCATTTTGGGTCCCAACTATGACGCCACAAAAACTATGGCGTCATATAGCTTTACTTAACCAAACGTTTTAATTTATCCTAAAAAAATTGCAAAAGAAACCAATGCAGTTTGGTTTAATGATAATATGTCTGACAAAATCATACTCAAAATCGGCCATGGCAAAATTACATGTTTAACATAATTCAATTTGGCGTTCTTCAGGAATTATCGAGAGCGCTATATCGTAATCAGTGTCTTTCAGTGGTGGTAGAATAAATAATTTATTTTTAAACTCCTCAAACACAGAGTGGTTATGCAAGCGAAGTGTGTCGAAAAATCGAATTTGACAAACATCAATTTAAAAATGTATTTTTCATTTGATGGCGGGCATTTCTTTCAAAATGGTGGAATTTTCATTAATTTTCATTTCTTTCCGTTGGGTATGACTTGTAATATGTGGTATATTAATCCCGAAATGACATGGTTGCTCTTAAATGAATATATTGTTAAAGCGATTTAAACATCTAGATGCAATAGACAAGGTGTAGAAAATTCAAGCTACATTGAAATGTTGGCAATAAAGATCGAATCATAGTTTTTAGTTATACACTGTTAACCACCCGTAGATGTTATAAATCACATAATTTATTCAGCTCGACGCAAGATTTAAAATGGATAGATGCGTTTCGTTTAACTTGAATGTAGATTTATATCATGCATATATAGGACCTTTCGGTTGAATCATATCATAGGAATATCTTATTTGCATAGTTTTACGTATTTGTCGACATTTAGGTGTACGTGTTCTATTGTTCTATTTATAGCCTATACATTTTCTTGTTTCACTTGACTAAACAAAGCATTGTGTAGGAATGTAGGCTTTTATAGATTGAACAAAAAGCTGATAAATGTTGAGATGTGTGCAACATGCTCGGGGCGATTTGTAAAATATCTCAGGCACGATATACTCTTCAAAAAAAGTAGGGGATATTAAAATGCAAATACCTATGCAGGTTGTAATATGATAAATAGTCATGGACACTTGACATGCTTTGAGAGTATGTTCACAGATGAAGAACTTATCGCTTCAACAGAACCACTGAGCTGCACATGCGACACGCAATAGCGCCATACATGTCAAATTTGACACTTTAAGGAAGGGTTAATGAAAACTGCCGCGTGCTGGTTTATCTATCCATGGTTGCTTTCCTATCGGTTCTTGCATAAGATTTACTGTTTAGCGTATCTTTGCTAAACGTGTGTTACGTTTAATTTGATCGGGAGACATGTTCGTCGACGTCAACCGACAACACTGCAAGAATTGACCGTGACACTGCAAGAGGAGTGGGTCAGATTGACCCAAATCGTGATTGAACGGTTGATTAGGAGCATGCCACGACGAATTGCTGAATGTCTGAGGATTGGTGGAGCAATTACTCATTATTAAGACCAAAAATCAAAAACGTCCATTTTCATTTTTGACGGTGTATCTATTTGCGAATGAAATGGGGCGGTCAGATAAGCCGCCCATATTAAATGTTTATATTCATGTGTAGGGAATTGGCCTGTTATTAACATACACTGGTTACTTCTAATAAAAACAGCAGTGCATTTCCGCAGTTTTGTATTGTTTCTGAATATCCCCTACTTTTTTTGAAGAGTATATATTTGATACTAGTCGAGCATCAGAACAACATGATTATTTCATTGGAAATGGGCGCAAATACCCAAAGGTGTCGGACAAACTCTAAAGCAACTGCGTCTCCTTCGTTGGGCCCCTTCAATGTATGTCTTAACCCAAACAAATTGCAAAAGACACCAGGAAGTTTCGTAGAGCGATATCTCGTCTCACATGTCACTGATGAAACCTATGCCCGAAACACATGTTACGCTAGACACCTTTTATCTAAAGGAGCTAAATCGCTAATATTTG